CAGTCTTTTATGAGTTAAATGACTTAATACTTCCAAATGCATTAAAAGGTGCCTTGCAATGTTTTTCTTCATTTCTTTACATACATATTTATTAGATGCCTGGTTTGTGCAAAAAATAAATACAGTAATGAATAGAGCAAATGAAGAGTTGAACCTGTTGTGACTCTGTGCTTGAGGCTTCTATAGTGTTTCTCTAAGCTCTTCCATCAGTAAGCACATGATCTGTGTTTGAGAATCTTGCCACCCATAGAGGTTTAACATGCAAGTTAGCAGCTTAATATAAAATACTGATAGAATTGCATTTAAAGACGTGAGTCATTTCAGAGTAAGATGTCAGACTCAAATTTGGAAGTGAGCTAATGAAATATCAAGTTTAAATATTTGCTTGAGGAAAAAAGCTTGACCATGGAAAGTTCTCTGAAACATTTTTTTTTGTTGTTGTTGTTCAAAAAATTGAAAGCTGTGTTCTATAGCTCTGGATGGCCCTTCTTACAGTAGCTGCAATTTTGTTGGTGACTCCTTTTCATTTCACTTAATAAACTTAATTTTAAGTGTTAAACTTACAGATAGATGTAACAACTCTCCATACCCTATACCTAATGTTCTTTATTGTTAGTATTTCATGGTGCTATGATACGTTTGTTAAAACTAGTGAACTCAAGCTGATATGCAACTTCCTAAAGCCATTGCATTATTCCAAGTTCTTATGGAGTGCTCTGTGTGGGTGTTGCTTGTTTGCATCAATACTATTTCCTTTCATTCAGTTACCATGTGTCTTTGAGCACCCTGCAGTATGACAGTTTCTAAAACTTCCCCTGTCTTGACAGCCTTGACAATATAAAGGGGATCATGGGTCAAGAGGAAGGTAGAGTGCATACAACTTTAGGTTTATTTTCTGAGGCTAGACAGAGGTTGTAGGTTTCAAAGATGAAGGCCATAGGGAGTTTTCTACCTCCTGACATGCTGGTAAACTTATCAACTTTGAACATTCTTTCTCTTTTTATTACATTTGTGTGTGTGTGTGTGTGTGTGTGTGTGTGTGTGTCCCTGTACTGTATATGTATGTGTTTGTCCATCCATTCATCTAACCATTCATCTGTCTATCAGTTTTTCTGCCTGTATGTATGATGTCATGGCACACATATGTAAGTTAGAGGACAACTTGAGAGAACTGGTGCTCTCCTCACACTTTGTGGAGCACAAGGATTAGCATGGGTTATAAGGCAATGGAGACAAGTGAATATTCGCACTGAGTGAGTCACTGTAGGGCACGTGGACTGTGCTACCAGACAGGCATGAGAACTGGTGAAGTGTGGTACAGTCAAACCATGGGAATCTCAGAGATCTGAGATGGTAGGGGTGGAGCTTCCCACTCCCAGTCTCCAGTGCCTACTCTGGAACACATAACTTCCATCCCCAACTGAGAGAACCACAGACACGCAGTCATGTATCATAGCACGTGGAGCTCTTCTCCATGCTAGTGAAGTATGTAGATAGCCTTATCCTCAGTCAATGACCTTCACTTCTTGGATATTTTCACACCTTTCCCCTAAAAATATTTACTGGTTCACCCTTAATAAAGTGTATGGGTCTACATCTACCCCCAATAAAAAAATATGAATGAACAAGCTTATATCATCTCAGAGATCTGCTTCATTAAAGGTTGTGATGAGGAAAGTCTTTGTCTAAAAGAGTCATGAGATTAAGACTCCTAATGAAGGTCTTTTCTTTTCTCCTGCCCTTTGACACTAGGCACTTATTCCCTACTGGACCTGTATTCTGCCAGGCCTGTGCTGCACTTTCCCTCCCTGACTACTGTGCAGTCTGACGTTCTGAGGGTAAACATGGACCTTGGACACCCATTCCTGACCTCCTTCCTGGGCCAGTAGAATAGTAGTGTCTGAGCACCCTGAGAGGAGATCCATTCCAGACTTTGCCTTCTTTTCCCATCTTGCACACAGCAGTGCTCTGACACCCCGAGAGAAACTTTCAGACTGATGTGGTTTCTCTGTTACAGACTTTGCCCTACCTTCTCTGAGCTTGTTATTGGCAGTATGTAGAAACTCCCAGCAAAGAGGCAGAATATGATGTCACAAGCCATGACCAGCCTGAACATTCTTTTAATGGGTAGATAAGAATTATGTGTAATTGGTGATTTAATGAGTCATATTATAGGAAAACATCTTTTCTAATTTTATTACCGAATACATATTGATTGATTTTTTGATTAATTTATAAAACATAGAAAAATATAAGATAATATATTTGTCTATTTATCAATGTATAGAAATCTTCTGTTTATAAAACCAAGACATACAATTAAATTCAAAATTAACAAGATATAGCTTTGTATTTTTTTTTCAAAATTTCCACAAACTTAAAAGTAATAAACACATTCTCAGTTATGTAGTCAAAAATAGGGAACAAAACAGACATGTGGGAGGGTAAGCAATTAGCCATGAATTTCAAGAAAATTGTCTCGTGAGGAATCTCCATAAAGATATTAAGACCTCAATAAGTTTTATGAGCCCAACCTTGTGACTTTCCTTTTACCTTAGTCTTTGGAATAAATGAACATTACCCTCTGAATGCAGAATACACTAGTATAACTATAATCGGGATTAGAAGAGCATGTTTATATTTTATAATTGACAAACAAATTTTACCAAAGATAAGGACTGTGTCAGTACATAAAAGAAATATACTGATCCAGAGGAAATGCTATTAGTAGGAAGCCATTATCAGGGAAACCTTTCCCGTGGTCATTCCGTGCAATAAATACCCACAGCAGTGCACTCTGACTTGACATTGTGTTCACACTGGGTTTAAGTATGATGTTTACAATTATCACTATCCATAGAACATAGGCCAAATAAATTCAGTGATTGTACTTCACAGTTGCTTGTGATCTTATCAATGATCTGTCAATATCATAACAAAAATTTCCATTTACATCAATTTTTTTTGAAATTTTCAATTTCTTCATTTTATGAAATATTTTGCCCTGCCTAATGTATTCTACTGTGTGGCCCTGGGACATTTCCTTAAAATCTGGAGCTTATTGATTTTCCTAGCCCAGTTCAAGGCTGAATGAAATGGTTTTAAAGATTATGTAAGATTAGCATTTGGTAAACTGGATGGTAGTAATAATTTCAGAGATAATAGTTTTCAATGAGTCACTGGGTACAGTGAACAGCTATGGAAATATATGAAAGGTATTCGTTTCATGCTACTTCTAGATTCTTAGAGATATTTGGGGGTTATTGTCTAGCTTTGAATAATGAAGTATATTGGACAAACAGAAGCCAATCAGAAATTGGGCATCTTATGACTGGAAAGACACTCAGTGGTTCAGAGCCCTAAAAAAAAGAGTCACCTAAAAGTCCTTTTTTTTTGTGAATGACAAACAGCCTCAATTCATAGCCCTATACCTAAGAAAGAAACGCATAATTTAGAAATAATCCTTTCTACAATATGAGTTCATAATAATTATTTAGAGAGCTAAAGAGATAGCTCAATCAGGTCCCTGCTGTGCAAGCATGAGGACCTGTGTTTGACCAGAACCCACATAAAATAGCTGAAATGGTGGCCAATATTTCATAGTCCCACCTATGTAGAAATAGAGACAAGCAGATCATTGAAGTTCCGTGTCTAGCTAGCCCGCATTAGTTGGCAGCTAAGGGTTCATACCAATGAAACCCTTTACCAAATAAACAATATCTGAGGTAAATCTTAGCCATTATGCGTGCACACACACCCCTCGACACACATACCACATACACGATGTATATAATAGTATGTTTTTACTCAAACCTACACCATTGCAAACAATCCCTTATATACACTGGAGAAAGCATTTAGTCTCAAATATTCAGTGTGCTGTGATACAGAGACCATGGCAACCTATAAAAGGACATGTGGAAGGGCAATTTAAGAACAGCTAGAAAGGCAGAATGGGATGTTTGAGAGACTGAAAGGTTAAGAATCAGCTGAGAAGCAGAAAAGATGTGAGCACAAACAGTATCTAAGTACAGATCTTATTTCCAAGTGATTATAAAACATGATGAACATTGTTAATACAGAGATTGACATATATTTGAGGAGTTCAGTACATCATTGATGGAAGTTAGAATGAGATAATTGCACTTTGAAGATTGATCTCTCTAAATTTAATAGCAGACTTTGGAGCCAAAGGCTTGTTTGGTTACAGCACATCAACATTTTCATGGACATTAACTTGTTGAAACACTAACACAGTGTAACAAGCCTCGGATGCCTTGAGAGTAGTGTATATTGACTGAATATACCTGCCATGAATCCCTGCATACATCCTGAACACAGTATACCTTTAATAAATATTCACACTAAAGTTCCACTTGTGTTTATATCAGTGATTTTGATATTGGGTATTGAGCTATACAATTCTTTACAAGTACAGCCATGTTATCAATGAGCTGCTGAAATAATCAGAGCAATTTGACACCAGCATGCTGTATATTTTTTTCTGAATGTGTACCAAAAGATGAATGATATCATTTATAGTACTTATTTATGTATATGTTTATATACAGAAATAAATGTCTTAGGAAAATAGGAAGACCGGACTAAGAAAAAGGAAAACAGTTAAGAACACTTATCTTCTGCCTCTATTAAATTTTTAACACACCTTCATAGTAATGCTATGGTAAGACTTTAACATACCATCAAAATTACTCCATGGAGGCAGTGTGTTCAGGGAAATTTGTGTCATGCCTATTTTCCCACAGAATAGTTTCTACTCATACTTGTAGATATTGTGAAGCATTGTCTAACTTTTATTTAATGTGTAAAATTAATATCGATCATTTGTAACAGATGTCAGGATTAATTCACAGGTGACAGACATTGCAGCCGAGCTATTATCATTATTAGCAGAATGTAGCATCACTAATGTGCCTTTAAGTAGCTAATGATGATGCCATGCTTTCCTAACTCTTTGTCCTGTGCTGTTTTGAATACAGACAGTGCCACAGGGACACACATAATACCAAGAAGTGTCGAAATGCGCAAGAGCAGTGCAGTAACAACTGAGATCACCTCTAAAGTGGAAAAAAGCCCCACAGCAGCAGCAGCCACTGGCAACAACTCAAGTCCTTCCACGGAGACTGAGGAAGAAAAGGCGAAGAGGCTGCTTTACTGTTCTCTATGCAAGGTGGCTGTGAACTCAGCCTCCCAGCTGGAGGCTCACAACAGTGGTGAGATGCAGGCCTATTTTTGTTTTTTTGTTTTTTTATCTCAACTACTCTGCAATTATCTTCCTTTGAACAGATTAGATCTTTTGAAGCAGAGAAACCAGCAGTGACAGAAAACTGTCAATTATTATGTGGAATTCATCAGCCAGTAAAAAATAAAAATAACTAGAAAAATATTTATGTTTGGACAAATGAAGCTTTGTTAGGCTTGAGATGTGTGTGTGTGTGTGTGTGTGTGTGTGTAACATCAGAAAATAAAATGTCATGCTAGAATATGGTATTTATGTGCTTTCTACCTTTGTTTGTATATTACCACACACTTCCTTCCAAATGAACCACCCCAGGCATAGTTCTTCTTTCTTTCATTTTTTAATACTACATGATATCTGAGCCAAATTTGTACGACGTGTTCAAGTGTGTTCTTCAAAAAACTTTTATTATATACACCAGCACCAATAAGGCATTAATCTTTTGACTGAGGTTCAGAGAAGATCATGGGACCAGCAATCAAAAGCCTGGTGCTCTTACTAAGTATTTTTACAGGAGTTGTCTCTAGCTCTAATTATGAATATGCATGTTTGTGTAAGGGTGTATACATGCATGTGGATAAAAATGTTTTAAAGAGTATGAGGTAAAAGATGTTTTAATGTATATGGAGCTGAAATTACCAGGGTTTGGGTACTGGGAAGTAAATTTAAGTCTGTTAGATGCTTGTCTTAGTTTTGGTTAGAATTGTTGAGATGAAACAACACAACTGAAGTTAACTTGGGGAGAAAGGCATTTTTTTTTTGGCTTATTCTACATCATTGCTCATCATTGAATGAATTCAGGACTGGAACTCAAAGATGGCAAGAGCCAAGAGGCAGGAGCTGAAATAAAGACCGTGAAGAATTGCTACTTACTAGCTAGTTCCTAATGGATTGCTCAACCTGCTTTCTTATAGAACCCAGGACCATTATCCCAGTGGTGGCACAAGCCACACTGAGATGCTCCTGACCCATTAATCACTAATTGAGAAAATTATCTATAGTGGAGGCATTTTCTCATCAAGGTTCCCTCCTCTTGAGTGACAATAACTTGTGACAGATTGACATAAAACTAGACTCCTCAATGATCTTTAGTGCTGAGTCATCACTCTAGACATTTTTGCTTTATTTATTTTATTTTGAGAGAGGATCTTACTGTGTCGTACTGTCTGGCATGGAACTTGCTTTGTAGACAAGGCTAGCCTCAAATTTACAAAGATTCATCTGCTTATGTTTCTTCCCTATGAGTGCTTATATTAAATGAGTGAACCACCATGCTCAGACTAAACATTTTTAAACAAAATGAAGCAAACTAGAATATGAAGATTCAGGAAGCAATTGGTTTTTTAGTTATTGTTCCATTGAGTTGCTTTCTGTGTTTTTACGTGTGTGATACATACACACACATACATACATACATACAAGCAAACATACTCATGTGTGCACAGATATGTGTATGAGTATATGTATGTGTGCACAGATATGCAAATATACCTCTTTCTATCTTTTTAATTGTATAGTTAAAAACAGAATCTTTCCTCTAAAATCTTAGTTGAGTGAAAAATCAACTTTACCTTAAAATTCAGACCTTGAGGCTGGGCTCTGTCAATGGATACAGTGTATGGAGAAGCACTGTGATTCATGACCTAATTTCATGTTGCTGACATAAGTTATACCACTGACTAGGGATAATGTCACATGGGTTATATTTAAGTGTTGACCCCATGCTTTAAGAAGTGACTGAAAATGGGACATAATTCCTTTGGTTGCAATCAGCAGATTTCATGAGTTTGTAAACAGAAACACAGACAAGCTTCTCGCCCAAAGTCAGGATCTACACCATGCAAATCCACTTTGATGAGTAGACATCAAGAGCCAGTAAACACCGTCAAAAGCCATTTGTATCCTCAAAGTCTGATCATTCTATATAGTTACAGATGATTACATTCATTATAGAATTGGTGAAATTTACAACTCAATCATGCCTGCGTGGTTTGAATTTACAAATTTATATGATTTGGGGACATCTTCAATTCTTCTAAGAAATATGTGATTCAAGGGCTGAAGAATCAGGCTTCATTTTATCACGGGAGATCATTATTTTTATATTCCAGTTGTGTGTCTTTATTTCCACTTTGCATGCCAAACTGCTCCCATGAAAGCATAAATATGTATTTATCCAAACGCCACCCCAAAGAGTTTCAAGATTTGCACCTAAAGTCTGGACAAGTGTCATTTTAGGAAGAAGCAGAGATAGAATGCTTGGTGGTCTTTTGATGAGAGAGATGAGGATAGCCTCGCATCTGGGAGTTAAAAGAATGAATGGGTGGCTCTTGTTCCTCATGCACCTTTACAGGACATATTCCTTTGGGACCAGCATCCTGTCCTGGCAACTGCAGCTACCGCTCTGCTTGGGAAGCTTTTAGTTTTCTTTTTCCTTGCATTTTTCTTCCTGAATCAAAAAAAATGTTCTTATCTGGAAAGTGCCACCAGAGTTCCTGGCTCACTTAGGTCTTGCCCTACACTCAAACTATAAGGCTGTATTGGGATTAGAGGTGACAAATTAAAAGGACAAAAATAGCCAAGAACTTTTTTATTCCTTCCCAACACACACTGCATTTGATTTGCAGTATTGCTCTATTTTTGTTGACTTCAACAGTGTTAAGAGGCCACAGTGTCTAATCTTCATCTACCTGGATGCAGTAATGTCAGTATCCAAACTCTTAATTCTTATTCACATGTGTGTGACTTCTGGATCTTTTCCTTACAGTCTACAGAAGTAGGGAAGTCTAAAAGGTTAGTGTAAGAAAAGAATGGCTCCATATGCAGCACAATCCTGCCATGAATGGATGCAGAGTTGAAGAATTCAACATAGAATTGCTGAATAATATTTATTGTGACTTCCTAAAGTAGTATATTCTGAGACAGAGACCTGACAGCAAATAGGTATTTAAAGAGTAGAAAGGCCAAAGCTTGGGGTCTAGGAAAAAGAAAAACAGAAGAAAAAGCACACAACACAAGCTGCTTCATTTAGCCAGTTTTCAATTTGGACTGTTGGGGTGACTAGGCAAAATGGTTAACACTGGGGGTCTAGAAAGATGAATCATATGGTTCAGTGGTTGAGAGTGCTTGCTGTGCTGCCATAGGGGCAGGATGTAATTTCTAGTACACGTGGCTGAACTTCCAGCTCCCAGTACCCCACCCCACCCCACCCCACCCCCACAAACACAGAAAATACACCTTTTTTTTTAGCTTTCCACTTGTTCATTTTTGACAAAATATAATAAGATAAAACAAAATTCATTATATCAAGGCTAGAAAAGACTACCTAACAGAAGGAAAAGAGGCCCAAGAACAGACACAGGAATCAGAGAACAACTTGTTAACAAGTTCAAGAGTTCCCTTAAAAATAGTAAACTGAGCCTAGCTCCACAGAGACTTAATATGTCAGGGTAGGATGATACCAAAAGGGAATGATGATATCATCCTCTCAGAGGAGGGGGACTATGGGGAAGGATTGTGGGAGGTAGTAACCAGAAGTGGATGTAGTGAGTGGATTGTAAAGCGAATTAGAAAGAAAGAAAGAAAGAAAGAAAGAAAGAAAGAAAGAAAGAAAGAAAGAAAGGAAGGAAGGAAGGAAGGAAGGAAGGAAGGAAGGAAGGAAGGAAGGAAGCTAGGCTGAAAGCTATAGTGTATATGCAGAGGATCTGGTACAGAATCCTATAGGGCTTGTGCATGCTGCTTTTGTCTCTGAGCTCATATGAGTCTTGGTCAACTGATTCAAAGGGCCTTGTTCTCATGGTATCTTCCATATCCTCTAGCTCTTGGTATCTTTCTGCCCTCTTTTCAATGAGGTTCTGTGAATGTTGAGGGGAGAGATTTTATTGAGACATCCCATTTAAAGCTATGTGTTTCAAGTATTCTCTCTATATATATTGTCTGACCATGGGTCTGTGAATCTGTTTTTATCTGCTACAAGAGCAAGCTTCTGTGAGGATAACTAAATAAGACACCGATCTATGAGCATAGAAAAACATCATATAGAAATATTTTATCACTTTGTGATTTATTGATCTCCCTCCTCCTCCTCCTCCTCCTCCTCCTCCTCCTCCTCCTCTTCTTCTTCTTCTTCTTCTTCTTCTTCTTTTTCTGACTAGTCTCTGGGTTATCTATCCTCTGATTCTTATCACACAAACAGTGTCAGACATGGGTTCTATCTTGTAGAGTGAGTCTCAAGTCAAATCAGACATTGGTTTGTTCCCACAATCTTTGTGCCACAATTGTCCTATCATACCTTGCTTGCAGGACAGATTGTAGGTCAAAGGTTTTGTGGCTGGGTTTGTGTTTACTTTTCTCTTTTCTCTTTACTCTTCTCTTGATATAGGTGTCAAGTCTCCCTGTAAACAGCAGTTAGACTTTTCTATATTCAGTGAGTTGCGTAGAAGTTGTACTTGGCAATGTGACCAGGGTGTCAGTTTGTGGAAGAAACCTATTGTCTTGACAACACCTTGTGGTGTTTTTTGGATTGCCAGAAGTCATAAAGGGACAAGCTAATGACTAGCAGGTTATCATTCTGAAATGGCCTGCCTTGGATTATTATATAATCTGAGACAGGTGCATCCTTATTCAGCAAAGATGTAAGGGATTTATTTTAGGAATGATTACTGCTATTAATATGCTTTTCTTGTTACTATTAAACATATATAACAATCACTAAGCAATAGCATACCCCTTTGGAGCAGATCTCTGTAGGTCCACAAAAATGTACTGTCTTGTAGTGATGCTATATAGACAAACAGATGACTTCCTAAGTCTTAATGATGATCCCATAAGAATTCCTAAAATTATATCAGTGGTCATTAATCTCTTTTATAATGCTATTATAACTGCTATTAGGTTCCTTTCTGATAGTCAAAACTGCAATGAGAATTCTGCCAGCATCCCAAGTGTCACCAGTTAATTGCTCTCAGATAGCAA